TTTAGCGTGTCAGTGGGGCTGTGTTTCTTTGGGGAAGAAGACTGGAGATGTTGAAACTAAAGTTGAAGGAATGGAATAAAAGCGTGTTTGGCAACATTGAAACTCAAATTGATGATCTTTTGTGCAAAATTAAATCTTTTGAGGATAAGGAGGAGTCTTTCTTGTCGAGTGCAGCGATGAAATGGACAGGCAGAGATGTAAGGTTGAGCTTAGAAGATTATTATTTCTCCAAGAAACCGCTTGGAGGCAGAAATCCAAGGAATTATGGAACAAATGCGGGGATAATAATACTCGGTATTTCCACAAAGTTGCTAATTATAGAAGAAAGTTGAACTCGATTGAGTGCATTAAGATTAATGGTACAAGGATTGAAGGGAAAGATCAGCTCGCTGATGGCATTGTTGGTTATTATCAAAGCTTGTTCAAGGAATCTATGTATAGAAGGCCATTTCCGGGCAGGTATGTGTGCTGGTCCATCGGTGATGATGATAAGGCTAGTCTTGTGCAGAATTTCTCAGAACAAGAGATATGGGCAGCTATCATTGATTGTGACGGCGCGAAGGCGCCAGGTCCTGATGGTTTCTCGATGGCCTTTTATAAGAAGTGTTGGCCATGGATCAGAAGGGAAGTTCTAAACGTGTTCAATGAGTTTCATCGCAACAGTCACCTGCACAAGGGCGCAACCCATTCCTTTTTGTGCCTGCTGCCAAAAAAGGATGTGGTTGAAAAAATCAAGGATCTCAGACCTATAAGTCTCCTGGGAAGCACGAATAAGTTAATTAATAAAATCTTAGCCGAGAGACTGGGTAACGTTCTTGGCAATAATGTCTCGGTTAATCAGCACGCCTTAGTGAAAGTTAGACAAATTGCGGAGGCAGGTCTAATTGCTTTGAGCTTCTTGATAGTCGTATTAAAAGCAGAAAACCTGGGTTGATGTTTAAGCTGGATATCGAGAAAGCATTCGATAACGTGAATTGGGGTTGCCTTTTCAATGTTTTGTCTGCATTGGGTTTTCCTCAAAAATGGCAAGATTGGATTCGGGCTTCAGTTTGTTCGTCGTCCATCTCTACTATGATCAACGGCGAAGCTAAAGGCTTCTTTCCTGTGGAGAAGGGCCTTCGACAAGGCGATCCACTATCTCCAGGTTTATTTGTTCTCATCATGGACGTATTGTTTTTTTTTTTCTATCCAAGTTGCGCGAAGAAGGAAAAATTAAGGGTTTCTGTATGGATGAGTCAAATGGAGGAGGGGAGGTGACGCATCTGTTATTTGCGGATGATACGCTGATTTTTTGCGAGGCATCCTATGAGCAAGTCCTAAACATTATGGCTACCTTGGTGTGCTTCCAGGCGGTTATGGGTTTGCAGATCAACTTGGAGAAATCAACTATGTTCGTTGTAGGAGACGTTCCCAACCCGGACTTTTATGCAAGCATTTTTGGTTGTAAGTGGAGCACGGAACCTTCGAAATATTTGGGTTTTCCCCTTGGTGCGAAGGTGAATTCTGCATCTACTTGGGACTCTATTATTAGTAAATATGAGAAGAGACTTGAAGGGTGGAAGGCCAGGCATCTCTCGTTAGGGGGGAGATTGGTGCTTAATAATTAGGTTCTTAATGGCCAGTCCATCTATTATTTCTCTCTGCTTCGTGCCCCTTGTTCCGTGCTTAACAGGATTGAAAGAATTCAAAGACAGTTCATTTGGTGCGGAACGGATGACAACAAGAGGAACGCTTTGGTTAGATGGGATTTTTTTAAGGTGAGGAAGGTTAATGGTGGGCTGGGAGTTCAGGACCTTAAATGCTGCAATAGAGCCATGCTTTGTAAATGGTTGTGGAAGTTTGGGATTAAGAAAGGCAAATGGTGGAGAGAGCTGATTTCGGTCAAGTTTCCGTCGTTATCCTCGGAGTGGGAAAGCAAGAGATGCTCAAGTGGTTTTGGAATGTCTGCTTGGGCAAATATCACGAAGGAATACGATACTTTTTGGAGGGTTGCTCGTGTTGACCCTGTCGGTGGGGCGTGGGTGTCTTTTTGGGATGACTGCTAGGTTTCGAACTGTGCTCTTGCCAATACCTTTCCTCGAGTAGCCGCTGCAACCTCGGACTGACGCGCCTGGATCTATGATATCGCAGAATTTCAAGGTGAGAACTTAACTTGGAATATTGCTTTAAATTTTCGGCTGAGAGGGGGGGGGGGGAGAGTGAAAGATTGGAGTTGTTGAATGTTCTTAATTCAGTTGATCCCTTTAAGGTTGTTTGCGGTCCTAGCAGACTTGTTTGGACCCCAAACCCCGAAAACTCTTTTTTCTGTTTCTGCAATGTACAGGTTCCTGTCGACTAATCTGTTCCCGGGGTTGCCAGAGTTCCCGGCCGATTCAGTCTGGAGAAAATTCATCCGTCGAAGATCAATGCGTTCTTGTGGACTGTCACGCACAAAAGAATCCTCACCCTTGATAACCTCCAGAAAAGAGGAATGGCCTTGGCGAACAGATGCTTTTTGTGTTTCAAAGACTCGGAATCCATAGATCATTTGCTGGCTAGCTGTGAGTACACTAGAAGTATTTGGAATGAGATGAAAGAGAAGTGCAACATCGAGTTGGATCCTTGGGGAGGTATCGTCAACATCATTCGCAATTGGAAGGCCGAGCAACCTTCTGATCCGCACTAATGGTTAACTTATTGCGCCCTCCATTCGAAGACAAAGACCTCCCTGCTTCCTCGGTTCTCAAGAAGGCGATGCATTCAATGGTTGAATGGCTTGTGGCTCATGGTAAGATCAGCAGATCACAAGGGCTGCATTGGTTGTGGCCTGGTTGGAATAAGTGATGGGATTCCTGCTGGAATCAGTGTTCTCGGATGTTGCTGGATATGTTGCTGGATTTGATGTTATTTCTTGTTAGATCTGCTGCTCTCTTGTCCTATTGTCCTGTTGTTTTTCTTTCTCGGACTTCTGTTGTGTTTGTTCCTTTTCGTTTCTTGTTTCCTTCCTATTGTTCTGAGTGAGCAGGGGCTTCATGGTTTGCCTAGCTCCTCTTGGCGCTTGCACTTCTTGTGCCAGCCTTTCTTTTGTTGTTGAGTAGTGGCTGTTTATTTGGAACTTCTTTTATTTTTAATATAATCATCACCATTATCAAAAAAAGATTGCAAATGGTTGATCAAACGTGTAAGTGATTGAAATGACTTAATAGCAAGGTTTGTGAAACCGTATCGGAGGTCATACTAGAAAAGTCAATAATATGGTATTTTGTAGTAAAATCATGATTTAATCATAGTTCTACCGTTTCCTACAGATAAAGTCGCCTACCATTTTGAGTTCGATATCCGGTATTTTCGATTGGACCGGTGAGTATGATAGGGTTTCCTAAACATTGCTTAATAGTTAATAGTCCACTTGTGAAAGACAAATGTTCTCCCTATAATCCATTATCCATTTCATAATAGTATTATGGTCAAGGTTGTCAACCCGCGGGTTGACCCGGACCCGGTCGAGCTAGTGGGTCAATGGTTAATGGGTCACTCGTTTAAGCCCGAAATGTGGAAAGAGTTATTATATTGTACTTATCCTGATAAATTATATCAAATCTCAGCTAACATATGAGTAATAACATATAACATTACACCAAAGTAACATGTCGTACTTAGATCCAACATATAGTGAAAATTCACACACACTTGTATAACATCAATGTTCAAATGTTCAACTAAGGATTCTAAAGATTGAGTTAGGCGGAAAGAAAAATAGAAAAATAGGCGCATTTCGCAAACCAAAGAAAAAATGACACAATTTGACCTCCAACCCGATACCTTGTAGCGGTCGACCCGACAGATGCGTGCAACCCGTTTTTCTCACAGGGTCAGGGTCAAAGTGGGTCAACCCAAGGGGTGACAACCTTGATTTGGTTATTTAGGGGCAATAAATTATCCTTTTTTATAGGATCAACATGTCTTTCCTGTATGTATCAACTTCGTCCGCAAAAATTTGATTTAAGGATAACAAGTGGTCTCTTATGCAATATTTTTAAGTACAACACCTTGTCACTTATATGTCTATTAGGCAGAACAAATTGTCGCCTATATAACGTTTACGTCTAAACAATGGCTCCTTCACTTGTTTCTTTGGAGATGAATGTCCACATGTGTAACTTGCAGGGACGACCAATTATCTCTTAGCCTATATCTTCGAAAGACGACTAATTATCCCCTATATACCTTGCAAGAACAACCAATTATCCCTTAGTCTTTGTCTTTCTACCTGACTAATAATTCAATTAAACTTGTATCATAACGTTATGTTATGGGACAATTTTACATGTTTGTCCCTATACCACTTAAAATCGTATTCCTAAAACAGAATAGTTGGCAAAAAGAAGTCCCAGAAATTTCCTTCCGTGAAGTACTAGTTTTTTGTTTCAAATTGGAGCCCATTTCCAACTAGTTCGCTCCGTTAAATAATTCTAGCACTAAAACAGTCGGTAATAAAATTAAACAATATTTTTTCGGATGATAATGGAGAATCCTACGCAATCTTCTACTTTTGTTGAAAGTTTCTTTAATTTATAGGGACAAATATAAAATTTTTCAAATAAATTATATGTTGTTTTATTTTTTTATTTTATGGAGACAACTATACAATTGTCCCCTAAGACAAACACCTATAGTTGTCCCTAACATCTGTCCCCAATACTTGTTAAGTTTGTAGCCTCAAATCCAATCAATACAAAGTTCAAAAAATAGTTGAAACCTTAATCCTCTGAAGATGAAACTCCTCCGATGAAAGATACATATCAATGGCGGGTAGTTTGAAAATTAAAAAATACGAATGATGACTATTGATTAAATGGACGGTAGAAAGCAAAATGGTGGAAGGCCAACAATGACAACAAAACTGTACGTGTATTTGTAAACTCAATGAAAACACCGAATTGATCAGTCAGTATGCACATCCGGTCCTCTTGGACTAACAAAAGAGAAAGATTAACAAATAACACAAATCTCTTGGCGCTGCTGGTTTAACAATTAATTGATTAAGTACCGAAAATTTAGGGCTCAAGTCTAATTTAACCACGTTGTAGCAGTGGATAGTAGAAGCTTAGTTGTCCAGCCTTTGCCTCTTAAGCGAACATCCGTCATGCGAACGGTGCTTTCCGAGGTAACGATTAGCCATCTCCACGAGCCTTCTTGTCCTCTCATCCATTACGTAATAGCTCGTTTCTTTCAAAGCCATCAACGACATCGCCGGCGCTTCAGTTGCCTCGACAGGAGCAGAGTACTCCTCCTTCTCCTTGTTGGTCTTGTTCTTTTGCTGGCGGTGGTTGTTGTTTGTGGCCGGCGATTTCTTGTTGGGCACGGCTGACTGGGTCCTGAAAACGAGCCCGTGGCTCTGCATCGCAGGGTAAAAGAGGGTCATTGTGATGATACAGGAAACTGGGCCCAGACCAGAACTGAGAGATCGGTGGCTCAAGGGTTGGATCGTTTTTGGAAATCCGATATATATATAATAGTAAATAGGCAGACTAAGCGATTTTCTAATCCTATAAGGATTGGTGTTCTGTTCCTAACTAAGTCGGTCTAACCTATTCCGAAATTGAAATGAGAAAGGAGATTTTAATTGAGGTGGCCGGAGTAGTACTGCTCTTCCTCCTGTACTGAGCCAAAGAAAGAAGATGTTGAAGCTGAAAAGCTAACCGAAAATATAAACCTTTTAGGGTTGGAGAGGAAAAGAGCTTAGCTTGCTTCATTGATCATTTGATCTACAGCTTATATAGCTGTCACGTTTGCTTGTACAGAAAGATTGGGGAAGAAGACATTAATGCTTGTGCTTTAAGCAAGTACATGTCTAAAACGGAAAGAAACCAAATTACAAACATCAGGGACTAATTGGAACTTTCCGAGAAACGACATCACTTCAGCTTCTGCGTTTACTCGTGGGAACGACGTCGTTGGCAACGGTTGACTCTTCCTTTTGAACTTGAGTTGAATCCCGCGAAGAACTGTGGCTCTTCCCTGATGGAAAAACTTGATTTATGTGAAGATTGAAGCTCGAGGTTGGTTGATGAAGATGCCATAAAGATCTATACGATTTATCATTGAATCACAAACCAATGATTTTTCCGATTCAACATCCAGTCCGATCATGAAATCAGAGATTGTCTGTCCACTTGCAGACATGGGAGGAAGCTGGTCCAAAAGGAAGTCCAAGCAGGACCGCCCAATGGATCGTGGAGGCTCTGTTCCAAAATTAAAAGGTGGTCCAGATTGACGATTAACTGAAATTAAATTAAAATGATTATATAATCATTATTTGAAATGTAATGTCTATCTAACAATGTCAAAATAAAACAATGTCTATCTAACGAAAGAAAAATAAAACTCAGCGGAATGAAAGAGCAGGAAAAATGAAAACGAACATGTATAGAGTGCAACGAAGATATACATGCACTGCACTTTAACCAGATAAGCCGCCAATTAATAGTCTTCCGCATGACAGAATTTTGTTTCTTCTTCTTTTTCTACCCCACAAGAAAATAGCACTACATAAATGCACATAATCAAACAAAGTTTGGTCTTATTTCCATCAATGGAGCCTAATTGGAAGGTAATAGGAGAATCCTCACTCTCAAGAACCCACAAAAAGCTAAGTCTAGGAAAGTCAAGCAACCCTAGTATCCACATTCCACATGGAAACATCAACAGTGCCCCACACTTGGAAGAACATACACAAAGGAAGGATAGAAATCAAGAGTTGGAAATAAACACACTTACCTATGTATACATAATTAGGATAATCAGGCGATCGATTTCACACGGCTGGGCAGATCCTCCTTCACAAAATACACAGCCCTGACCACCAACAAAATATAAATATATCTTATTCATGCAACAATGGAGGAAATCATGATCACACATATACACACAGCAAATAATCATCATCACATCAAAATTCAAGGAATAAAAGAAGAGTACCACTACCTATGTCGCTAGTGGGAGTAAAGGCCGTGAAATAAGGGCATTCCAGATCATCCATAAAACGACCAAAATCCCTCGCCGTCTCTAAGACTTTACAGCGCCCATAATTGCCAACCAATTTAAACCTGCAAATGCTGAAAGAGTTGTTCACTTCTTGGGACGCTTCAGACTCTGTATACGCTTTATGCCAGAGGAAGAGACAGTACACATCATCATCACCATATCCAAAAGGAAGCACCCCTGCATCAGTAGTTTCCCAGTTATCCCCTGGAGTTGTCTGCAGAAACTCAGCTAGAGCAAACAACCTCCTAGCTTCAGGCTTACGCGGCAAACACAGCAGCTGATCATAACTTGCGGAAGGATCCAAGTTCACAACAGTGACATCCTTGTAATTAGGACGGACATGGGGTTTGTGTACGGTGTCAGGATTTTCAATCCTCAGCTGAAAAACCTTACCATTGCGAACAACATTCGAACAGGGCGTAATGTCATATATTTTGTGTGTGTACGCCATAAAACCCAGTAACAAGTCCTTTCTGGACAGGTTAACAGCATACTGAGCCATACTCGTACTAGTGATTATGGGGCGCCATTTTAGACTCTCCATATCAAGAGCATACAGACAGGGGTAAGTATCGGTATCGATATAAACAATCAATTCACTCCCTACAACTACATGTCCGAGGTAAACAGGAAGGAAACAATTGTACTTATAACTGCTAACATCGGTATCCCACACTTGGGATGGCGTGTCGATGGTTTGCACGGTGAGATCTTTGAGGTTCAAGACCTCGCAAGGAGCAGGGCGCTCAGGCTCAAACGGCGAGATGGGGGGATAGCCCTTGGACAAGATGAAAAGCTTCTCCTTCTTGTAAGAAACGTGAATCGGGCAGACCTTGGGTCCGTTCAGCTTAACTTCCATTTTCCTGAATTGAAGCGGTTCCTTTTGGATTTCCGGATCCGTCCCCAGATCGCAGACGTAGAGATACCGCGGATATGTCCAGTACGACTTGCCAGTTTGGAGATCAAAATCGTACTCAGGGTCAGGCTCAGGGGAGTCACAAACCTCACGACCACCAAAAGCATATAATTTCGATTCTACAACTGCGAACCCCATACCTCTGTAGAATTGTCCGCGGAAGTCGCTGCTGGGGGTGACGGTCACGTTGGCGGTGCGGATCCCCGGGTCAGTGTCGCTGTTATTGGCGGCCTTTTTGTCGAGACCCACCAGAACGACATTCACCACGTCGGTGCAAGGAGCAACGAATCCACAATTCCACCACTGTTGTCGCTCCGGCGAAGCGACTCCCAATTCCATGGACATCGTTGGGCTTTACCCTAGAATCAACAACGAGGGTAAATTCGTCTGTGTCTCCTCCGCCTTCCTTTCTACCGATTTAGGGAGACCAAAATAACAACTTCAGAGTAAACGAGATTGGCGCCCAGAAGAAGAGGTGGGCACGCCGCACGCGACGCGAGAGGAACGACTTTATGGACTTGGTGCGTATGGTTGGTTAAATTAGGGTTTCGCTGGGCCATGCTGCTGACTTCTGAGCAAGTGGTCAAACCCGTATATAATAAAATAAAAATATCTTCCGTAGTTTAAACTTTAAACTCAACCATCACCAATCATCCTCACCAATTTTCATAGCACACATAAGGGGTAGGTGCATGTTATAGTCCATGCCGACGATAGACATTATCGAATCGTGTAACTGTTTACATTTCAGCAGTAGGGATGGCAATAGTTCGGGTTGGGTTGGGTTTTGCCAAACCCAAACTCAAACCCATGGGTTTATTCGTGAAAAAAAAACAAGGGGTAAAACCCACTGGGTTTGAAAAACTCAAACCCAACCCAACCCGCTGGGTATCCGTGGGTTTATGGGTACCCACGGGTTTTTGTCGTAAAAAATTTACAATAACAAGTTCCTATCAAAATTAAAGTCAAATATCAATCTCTCAATACAAATTATCCATATATAAAACACCATTCTGGAAAATTCAAGCAAATCATAAATTAACTATACAAATTGTTCAACACCAATCTAGAAAACTCAAGAAAATTGAAGCAAATCACAAATTATCCATAAATAAGATGATTAATTGAAAGAAAAAATTAAGTTTCTTGGGTTTGAAATCTTATTCCTTTCAATTAAGTTTCTTCACTCTCCACTCGATAACATCAACTTCATTCTACACAATTTGAAAGAAAAAATTAGACATGTCTCCACAAACATAAATAAGATTAGTTGTTTAGAATATTAAATATACCGAGAAAATTAACTATATGGGTGTGGGCGGGTACCCATGGGTCGGGTTTACCTAAACCCAAACCCAACACAACCCGGTAAATAGTAAGCGGGTTTAAACCCAAACCCAACCCAAAACCCGTCAACAGGGATTTTACTCGATTGCAACTGCAAGTGTCGAAATAACATTTTCAGTTTTGGGATAATTTAAGAACAATTTTCGGAATTGAATAAGCGATCAGTTCGTGAATGATTGTATAGTAAGAAAGAGATATTAGTTGAGCCATGTAGACACCTGATATATTTTACCCTTTTTAGAATATAAAAACACGTTGTAGACTTTTGTTATAACTTGTATTAGTTAAATATTTTTTTATTTAAAATTATTTAATTTTTCAAAGAGGACACCCTATATGAAATTCTTGGAGCTTATGGGTTGACTAACTTTTTGTAGCCTCACAATCTTTGTTCTATGAGAATACGTTCGTGCTTCCTAGGCAGGGATTTGGTTTTAACACCGATAGTTTGTGGTGTCAAAGAATAGGATCGAATAACAGAGGCGAGAGAGTTGACAATTGCTTTCGTTATTGTCTTCTCCACGCACTGTGTTGGGGCGTGTGGCTTGAAAGAAATCGTCGAATCTTTAAGCAAGCTAGCCCCCCTGCTCTCATTTCTCATCGTATTATGAGAACTGTTGTTGAATGGGTTTTTGCTAATAGGAAGGTTGGGAGAGCGATTGGTTTTCATTGGCTGAGAGAGAGGATGTGACAGGGCTTGTAGGCGATTCTTGGTTCAGTCGTTGGACTGCTACTGTTGGAGTTCGATACCGAAGTTTGGATGCTTTGTGGCTGTGTTTCCTTCCTTTGCTGCTATCTGAGTTGGCTTTTGTAATTGTGATGCTTGTTTCAGTTTGTTGACCTTGTTATAGGGAGTTACTAATGGTCGCCCTAAATTTTAAAATTTTATTGCCCTAATTTCAAAAATAGACACATTTCTCCCTAATTCCAATTTCTAACATAAACCCCAAATGAATAAATCCCGCCAGCCAATGGTTCCGCTCACTGCCAACCGTCCCATTCTTCACCGGGATAGATTGCTGAGGCAATTAACACAAAAATCCACTACTGAAATTGATCTCCAGTACAAAGCAGTGAATCGACTAACTCTCGTATAATCAATTCACTACTACCGATTGAAGAAGCTCTAACAACCTAATCAGATTCTATCTATCTCAGGTTGCAGCAGAAATCAAGAAAAGTTGATCAGGCTTCAATTGACTCAATAAATCATGCCTCGGTCGATTATAATCAAGCAGTATAACATCCAAAAGTCATTACAAACATGATCCCTAACACATGGAACTAGGGTTCTTCATACCCATGTGAGAGAGGGTTCTACTCCATAGAGAGAGAGAGAGAGAGAGAGAAATAGAATACAAAGCAGTCATACTCATAATGATTGGAAGAATCTGCTTTGGGATGATAATCTTCACTCCAATGATGAAATTCAAGCTTGATTGATGAAATCAAGCTCCCAAATCAATCCTAGGGTTTGTTCTTCCGCAATTTCTCTCTCCAGGACTCTGTTTTTGCTCTGAAAGTTCGTATCCATCTTCAAAGACCCGAAATTGGGTTAAAACCCAGAATTCCACGACCACACGGCCGTGTGGAATCCCCAGTCTGCCCATGTGATGTCCAAAACGCGGCGTTTGATTAAGTGACGGAAGGTACGCTACACGGCCAGAATGGCGTGGCCGTGTAGATTCTAGTCTGCCCATGTGTACTCTCTGCAAATTCCACACGACTAAAAGTGGCCCTTACACGACCAGTGTGGCCTTGCCCGCACAAAGGGTGCCACAAGGCCAAGTCACACGGTCGTGTGGAAATCTGGTCAAGTCGTTTGGCTTCCTCAGCTTCTCGCCAAACGTTCCAACTTCCTCCAATCGACCCCGAACTCGTGCCCAAACCTTCATTCACGTACTTGGACCTGAAATATCACAAACAAGAACGACCTAGCGTGAAATCGGATTAAAACACTAGAAATGAGACTCAAACAGTATAAGAATGGTGGACAGAAACATTTGTATATATCGAGTCATCAAATTCCCCCACGCTTAACCATTTGCTTGTCCCCAAGCAAACCTGACTCAAACCAATGCAACTCTCTAGACCTTTACAGCAACATGCAACCCCGATTGTAGGCAGAGGATTTTCTAGATCATTTAGCAACTTACGAGGTCAACTAGTCTTCTAGGATGTCCCCTATCTCTCTCAATGCGAGTACTAGACTCAAGCTAGGATCATGAGAAGCAGTGGAACTAAGACAACTAATTCATGGATAAGGAGACTCACACAATTTAACAACCAATGACTCTTTGTATCTGGTGCTCTTTCATTTCATCTCACTTGTTGGAACCCCTTTTTTTGTATTTTTTCTTTTGCTTTACTTTACTGGGGTTCCAACTGCAGTTTTTATGCGCGGTCGGCACTTATTAGGTGAGCAAGAGCAATTTCTGTACATCTGTCGCTCGCCAGAGTACTTCTTTTAACTCCTTTTCCTCACTCATGTGGAGGGTCAATGAAATTAAGGGGTGTCGGAAGCTCTATCCGTGCCCTTAAAAACACATCCTCAAGTAGGCAAACCGTTCAACGGGTGAAAATTTTACTTGTACTAGTGACAGCTTAGCTTCACCTTGTAGGGGTACATCCCACTAAGGATCACTAAAATCTCTTCCAAAACCCGATTTTGTGCAATGAACGGTGCCACACACGTTGGGCTTATCCCATGTCTTAAAATTTCAAATCTTTGATATGGAGGACCAACTGCTTATTCATTTCACATTTGAGCACCCTTTTACGATACACGAGTCCACAACACAACATAAGAGGAGTCATCAATACCACATGAATCAATGGTCCTAAATCCACTAGTTTGCAAAATCAATCGGCACAGCAGAGAGATAGATAGGAAAAATTTTATACTTCAACATCCTCCATAGTGCTACAACTATCTCCCTAGGTTGCATATTACCATAAAGACTGTCAATTCGAATCTAGCTGTGCACTCAGGAATGAAATGGAATGGTGCATCCTTCTCCAGCGGATTGGTCAAAGGCAGGGCAATCTTTGACAAATCCTTAATAAACTGCCTGTAGAAGCCTGCATGACCCAGAAAGCTGCGGATCCCCTTCACAGAAATAGGAGGAGGTAGCTTACTGATCGTCTCTATCTTCGTGCGATTCACCTCGATCCCCTTCTTGGAGATCTTGCGCCCAAGCACAATCCCCTCACGAACAATAAAATGGCACTTCTCCCAGCTGAGTGCCAGATTACTCTCCTCACACCTCTTCAGGACAAATTCCAGGTTATGGAGACAATGAGTGAAGGAGTCTCCGTAAACTGAGAAATCGTCCATGAAGACTTCCATGATCTCTCCAACCAGTCGATCGAAGATCACCAGCATACACCCTTCGAAGGTCGCCGGTGCATTACATAGCCCGAATGGAATCCTCCGGTAAGAAAAAGTACCGAAGGGGCAAGCGAATGTGGTCTTTGTCTGATCCTCCGGCGCAATGGGGATCTGGAAGTATCCGGACATGCCATCCCGGAAGCAGTAGAACTCATGGCCAGCCAACCTCTCCAACATCTGATCAATGGAAGGTAGGGGAAAATGGTCCTTCCTGGTGGCGTCGTTCAGACGCCGGTAATCGATGCAGACTCTCCAGCCAGTCACGGTCTGCATCGGGATCAGCTCGCTCTTCTCATTCAGGACCACAGTCATCACGCATTTCTTCGGGACCACCTGAGTGGGGCTGACCCACTGGCTATCAAATATACCAAAGATGATCCCTGAATCCATCAGCTTCACAATCTCTACCCGGACCACTGCCTCCAAGTTAGGAGTCAACCTTCGTTGTGGTTGCCTGACTGGCTTTATCTCATCCTCCATCAGAATTCTGTGGGATCAGAAGGATGGGCTAATGCCTCTTATGTCAGTTATCTTCCATGCCATGGCCCGGGCATACTTGTTCAGTAGAGCCACCAGTCTGCTCTTCTACTCAGGTGTCAGATCCGATCAGATAATGACCCGGAGCTTAATTTCCTCCCGAAAAAATGCATACTCT